TTACATGCACCCGGTTTGGAAAGACTTGCACACCCACTCTCCTGCTAGTGCCTTCAAATTCCTCATTTTCTTTCAAGTTCCACATCAGTGTCACTCCCCTGGCACGCCTCTCTCTACTCTTAGAATGTTCTCTCCAACAGCACAATGTTCCTCTCTATGCTCAGCCTGGGATAATTAAGTTGTTTTTCTCACAAACACGTCCTGTACTTTCTGAGAGCAAAGAGCATCCCTTAGTCCCTGTATCAACAATATTTATGAGGTCTCAAATGTTATTTAAACTATGCATAGGGGTTTAACGTTGTATACATTTATCCTCTGTCTCCCTAATGATTTTTTTTTTGATGTTCAAATCTTTCTGGCTGGTCAAAAAAACGTGTAAGGAAGGGACTATGATTCTCATCTCAGATAAAGCGGCCTTTTCCAGAGAAAATTTAAAAAGCAAATTCAAGTTCAGTTAATTTTGTATCTTGGAGTTTGTCTTCTGGTGGTAGCGCAGAGCTAATCAAGACTCTCAGAAGACCTTGGAGAAATGTGCACACTGCTCTCCATTTATATTCCTACTCTTTGGGATCTGATGCCACAGGCTCTATTCGATGTTCCTTTTTAAGTAAGAACTGATCCCCACAGAAACGTAACTTAGATTTGCGTGTGAGTGGGGGAGGAGCCTGGTGACTGCTAGGGCCATTCTTCCACTTATCATTTAGAGTACATGTAAATACATCGAAAGTTCTGTCTTTAAGCAGAGTGCCAGCCCTTAAACAAAACCTTTAGATCCGCCTTCACAGTTAGACAGTATTTTGTCTCCTCCTACACTAGAATAACGTCTTCCGAGGGTTACCCGTAGAACTGGTGGTTCCCACATGGACTCTACTATGTGTGGTGTATAAACAAAGAGAATTCGTGTTCTTTGAGATTGGTAGTGAGAAGCAAATGCAGGTAATAAGAGTTCAGGTTCAAGGCCACCTTCCACAGCACGGAACCAGAGAGCTCTTAATAGCTTGGCCTCCTATCAGACTTGAGTACTACATTCGGTCCCTCCCACTGGTTGAAACTGACTCCAGGCCACACCACAGATAACCTGATGTCACCATGCTGATTCCTTGGGATTACCTACTGCCTCTACATGGCCAGAACATGGGAAAACAGTACCTTCAGCAGAAGCTCGATGACTTCTGTGTGGACGAGTCCATGCACCGGCTCTCCATTGATGTGTGTGATCAGATCCCCAGCCTTCAGTCCTGCCTGGTGTGCCGGACTTCCTTCTTCTACATTCTACAGTTCAAGAGGAGAGTGCATATTTGTAAGCAAACAAATGACAACCCCAACATCTATTGTTTCTTCTGTCAGGAGATTCTGAGTCACCTTGTGCATAGTCCTAAGAACTAACAGGAACTACAAAAAGGCATGGCTCCCGCTCCAATATTGTTCTAAAACAGGGTAATTCCCATGTTTCCTTAAAACTCCTTCAAGTGAGCAGGATTATGATTTTTGAAAAGTAAAGGTAGGGGAAAAAAAGAAGAAATGTAAAGGAAAGGGCTAGAGAGATGGCCCCCCCAGTTAAGAGCATGACTCCTATGGAGGATCTGAGTTTGGTTCCCAGATCCCCTGGCAGGTAGTTCACAATCGCCTCTTAACTCCAGCTCTGGGGTAGCTAAGGCCTTTGACCCCTGGATGCATTTATACTCAGAATACTGTAATTAAAAATAAAATAACCTGTTGTTTTAAGGCAATAAAGGGTTATAAAGAACATAAAGGGTCTCTATGTTCACCAGATTGGTACATAAGAATGGGCAAGCAGTTACAGAAAGGGGGCAGAGTTAAGAAAACTGACTAGTTGGAGATACACCCAATTCCACCACAGAAATACAGCAAAGAACACCAAAAGGAAAAGAAAGTGGGTTCCACGTTCCACAGACACAGACAACACGCCAGCTTCTACTGCGCTTTAGTCCACAGGTGCACACTCTGTGCTGGTTGGAAAGGCAAACGGACAAGAATGAAGCTTTGCTCTTACCCAGACGATGTGGTGCACCGTGTAGATGTCACTGTCTCCCACATACACACGGATGGCTCGGATGGTAAATCCATAGTTCTTCCCCAAACTGTGGATCACAATGGGCTGGTGGGGACTGGCAGAGGCTGCTGAAGAATCCCGGCTGGGAGAGGAATCCCGTGAGGAAGAAGGGTCTGAAGACAGGGAGTGCGGGGACATAGGACTTCCCAATGGAGACACAGCAAACATATCTGCAACAAAGAAGCCTGCATCAAAGGGCAGCCGGGGCATAGCCACCCTTCCCTTGGGGAGCCCACAGGAAGACAAAAAGTGGTCATAAAACAAATTTCCCTGTTTCCAATGGCAAAGGAAGAACTCCACAGGAAATGCTTGTGCTGGTAACTGGTATGGGTGCAAAACTCAAGCCCACTGAGTACATAAAAAGGATTTCTTGTTTAATGTTTCAAAAAATATTCTAAAATTAAGAATTTTTAGTTTTTCTATACAGAGTTTTCTGGTTGTGGATTCTTAAGATTATTTCAGTGAACTAAATCCTTTACAGATGCATGCATTCATAGTGTTTTGTTTTTGTTTTTTGTTTTTTACAAGCGAAGACTAAGTATATTTAAGTATATATAAGGAGATACACTCTTCTCCAAATCTTACACCAAGCAATTTAACCTGATTCTCCAAACGCACAAGGCAGGAAAACAGTGATCAACCACCAGCTGCTTTTGGCAATGTTGCTGAGCTAGGACTTATTAACACATTTAATTGAGAAACTTAACTACAAAAGAATGACTGCGGTTGTAACTGCTCCTCTTCACACAGCGGCTTCAAAGAATGATGTTTCTTCAAGGGTAAGGAAGGTCACATACATGTTAAGAGCAAAGCTGCTCATGTCCCTGAGTGCCTTCTCTGCTCTGTTTCAGAAGCAAACTTCTGCTTTTGAGCATTTATATTCTCCAGGGCTCAGAAACTGAAACCTTACCCCCAAGGTAATGGTATTTGGAGGAACGTCTGGAAAATAATTAGCTAACGAGGACTCTGTCTCTGGTGATGGGGTTAGTGTGTTTCTGGAAGAGGCCTGAGAGCCTTTAAGAGATGCCATCTATGTAGAACCGGACACCTGAGGCCTTGACTGGGCATCTTTGCCTGTACAGCCATGAACAATAGATTCTTATTACCTGAGCATAAGGTATTATATTATAGCAGCCAGAGCAAACTGAGATGTAAGCTCACTGTTCCATATGAATACATGTGGATCCTAACTAGTCATGACACTGTGTGTGTGTGTGTGTGTGTGTGTGTGTGTGTGTGTTCTGAGAAGACATAAGCATCTACAAAGCATGCTGAGATTTGAATGTGGACTTGGTTGGAACAAGGCAATAAGGTGCTACTGGAGACTGAGAGGGACAGGGAAGACCTAATGTGGTCACAGTAAGATGAAAGCATTTACTAGATGCACTCTAAGTCTTCAGTCATCCACACAAGAGTAAAGCTACATAGATTACTGTGAGTGTTCTTTGACTCTGACTTTATGTGGAATACTGATTCTCTTTACTGACTCCCTTATCCAAAGGTCAGGTAAGAAGAGGTCATCATTGGATGGGGACCTTCATGGCATGTGAGTGGGGGACAGATCAGACACTCGAGACTCAAACTGTGGGAAGGTCAGGATCCCTCTTCTTGGCCACATGGTGGTCTCCCTTTCCTCTACAAATTGTGTAGCTTCCCTCTTTTTCCAAAGAACATGCTACTTTACCTGCTTGTACAGATGGACTAGGCTGCAATGAACTGCCCTTCCTTGTTGCACATGGGCACTGGGGCCACCGTTGAAGTATGCATGGCCATACAGACAACAGAGATAGGATATTGCCCTGTGGGGCTCAATGGGATGTTTCCTAGCAAAGGAATTTGCATTATGCTTTTAAGAGCATTTGCTTATATCAATTTTTGCACAAATATGAGGTATAAAATAGTAAGTAATCTCTTTTATACATAGTTTGAATTCTTTCCAATACATGTCACCTATAAAAGAATTCAGTTTCCAGTTCTACTCTGTCTCTCACTGAGTGATGGCATGACCACCCGTGTATATATTTCATCTCTGCCAGGGAAAACTATAGACTTGCAGATCAGTAGATGCAAAACCAAGTCATAGGAAAAACATAGAAATCCAACAAAACCATAATTAAGTATGGTTTTTCCAAAACGGCATAGATTAATTTGCCTTCTAGCTGGAGAAAGTGAAGCTCAGTCCACAAGATTGGGGAAATATCTTATTTCAGTGCCTCCTGTGAAGAAATTCTCTGCCATGTCCAGGAATGCAAAGCTTACATTCTGTGTCTGTTTTCTCATTAATTAGATGATGCAACGCATACCTAGCTTTCCAACACGCGAGCTGTAAACAGCTCTGTGAGGCACACACACACACAGCACGTGGTCTACAGTAGAATTATCCCTGGGAGGGAAATTCATTATTTAGCTCATGGGGGAGAAGAAAGGCTTTAAGAAAACAAATGAAATCCGCCTTCATAAGAAGGAAACTTCTCTCTTCTGATCCTCAGATACAGAAGGTAAACTGAGACACATATGTACATGCTCTCTGGGTGCCCCTGAGTTCCTGGAGGGGAAATTCACAGGCGTGTTAGGCAGAAGCTCTTGGGAGCTGTCCTCTGATCCCCCCATGGTTGCCTCATGCACTCTTGCATTTCAATCTGCATTCCAGGTTGGGGGAGAAGGGGGAAGCACATGCACAAATCACACAATTTCATGCGAGTTGACGTCTCTCTACCTCCTGGGATCATGAGGGACAGAGCACTGGCAGAGAGGGACTTTGTGACTTTCCCCGAAATTTTCTTTTTCTCTGTGCTTTCTAATCGCTGCCGAGCCATGTGAGAAGTGGGTTCACTGGATGGCTTTGAGGTGTTATCTGCACTGTCCACACACTCGCTTCGCCCATTTATCTGATCCAAGTGCTCTGAAAAACTGCCAACTGTACAAAGAAGAAGCAATAAACACATTCAGGGAAAGTTAGGACAGGAGAAGTGGAGACGGGAACAGAGAGAAGAGGGTGGGCTGACACTGGAAGGTTTTTCCACATGGTGCCCAGGTCCAAACGTGCCAGGCTGAGTGTGGAAAACAACCGGCTTGAGAGCCATGCTGTGGAGAACAAAGAGATAGAGGGGCTATTTGTTCAGGCTTCACTCTCCTGTACACAGGTAAGTTCTTAATTATCCCACTTAATCAGGAGAATAGCTTTCTATAATCTACATTTCAGAACCCTCTGAGAGTCTCCTCCTATAGGCCTTCAAGGAGACAATCTTATAAACCCACAGACTTCCCCCTCATACTGATACTAGGGATTATCATGAATGCTGCCATTGTGACACAGGGACACCATTTAATCACTATGTAGACCATGTCTGTGTCAGCTCCTCTCGACTTCCCAAGATAGCACGGACCCAGGTATGTATGCCATAGAAAGAATCACAATGTCCCTTCATCCCTTCCACTCCTGTTTTCACTCCAAGCCCTTGGTTAAGTTTCAAAGGACAAGACACAAGACACCACTCACCACATTACTTAGTTGCAAACTCCATCTTCCCAGCTTTCAGCCTAGACTGTGTCATGCGCTGGTCCTCCCAACATCATCCTCTATTCCTTCTAAGACACACCTCTCTCTGAAGTTGATTAACCTCTAATGTACAGTGGGGCTACTCTTGAGTTAAAACATAGGACTTTCCATAAGAATAGAAACATGTAGGAGGGTGGTGAGATGAGGCACCCCCTTAGAGACAGACTGAGCAGCGACTCACATCACTCTTTATTTGTCAAGCTACAAGTCTTCTGGTTTAAAATCACCAATCACACTTTAACATTTCTGTACAGACCTTACAAATATCGCAAATTCTATGCATTCCAGATACAACATAAAATTCTATATCCTAGGCCTCCTGTGTGCAAAACTCATTAATGCTATTGTCATAGAGCTATAAAGCATGCATGTTATGTAATACCACTGCAAATGATTTTTTGAATCACTAGCCAACTCATATTAAAATGCTGACCACACAGCATTCTCTGTGTGGAAAAGAGTTGGTCTAAATGACACATACCCCACTCAACTGCACAGATTTTATCTGGCCCTAGTTTGTGGAGGGAATACACCTTTTGGTCTGTCTAAGGGGAGTCCCGGAATATGAAACAGGTAGACATAGATACAGCATACTTTATAGCTGCCCGCTGTGCTGTGCAAGCAAGACAGGTTCTTGGCCTTCTACATAACACCTACTGGACCACTGGAATACGGAAATCCTAAGGCAGATATCAAAGGACTTTCACTTCTTGGGAAGCACACACTCATCAACTAGTACATTTACTCTGCTCCCTCAAAGAAAGATGTTGCTTAGAGGACTTTATCAAAGCTGTTTCACCAGCCAGACATTTCTCTCAACTGAAGCTCAGCCCCAGATGAGTCACTTCCTTTCTGAGTGGGTTCAGGTGGGAGGAGTGAAAAGGGAAGGGTGCAAACAAAAAGTGGTGTCTTTTTACAATGAGTAATTTGCTGGGAGCTTGAGCATCGCAGCTATGATTCCACAAGGGCTCAAGTCAATGCAGTCAAGGAGAACAGCAAAACAGACACCAACTTGTGCTTTCCCAAATGTCAGGATGGATGCACAATATTTTCTTCTCTTATCCCTCCCGCTTCCTTCCCCAACCTCATTTTACAGCACTGCGCCTCCTTCTACCAAAGGCAGGTAATGTCACCTTGACGTTCTCTAAATGTCAAGAGTTCCTTCCTTTTGATGGTGGGGCAATGTAAACTTCAACAAATTTAATTTTACTGCAGCCATGCTTTTCAGGCTCCTTAATTACCTTTGGCTGCAAGCAAATCTACTCTCATCTCTCTATTCTGTGCAGCCCCCAAGGTCTTTGATTATTTTTTAGTATGTGTATGGGGGAGACGGGGTGAGAAAAGGTGGGTTGACACTATTAATCAAAATGCATAGCAGAACCTCGGCAGATATTTTTAATTATGAAAGTAATCAATCAAGTACTTAGACATTACTCCTCCCCACCCCCTTCACCTAGTGAGTAGCTCAGGATACTGAGATATTGAAGACAAGAACTTTTACATGGAAGTTGAGTAGACTCTATATTCATGGGAAGGCAACAAGGAACCAGACAGAGACCCCTATAACCAGTAATATAAAATACTGAGCCCCTATATTTGGTAATAGTAATATAGTAAGAGACACATGGCCAGGAGGCTTAGAGTAATAAGATGTCTCTGTACTATTTTTACAGTGCTTTTATCTTGACTTCATAGTTAGAGTAAATGGGATTGCCCAGCCCAGAAACAGAACTGAGGTGTAAAAAGAGAAAAAGAAAACCCAGTATTAGTTTCCCAGGTCAACTATAAGCATGTATGAAGTTCCATAGATCCAAACATTTTGGGGAGGCTGAAATTTAATCTGAAAGATTTTTAAAAATGTGTTTAAATAAATAAATAAATAAACCTTTGACTAAACGCATTCAGTTTAAAAATGTTGATGGAAACTCTTAGAATCATTTATGCTTATTAGTATAGCATATTGAATATGGCATAATGAAAACATTACAGCAACTATAAGTCAGAGTCATCTTTTGATTAAAATAAAAGCATAAATTTGCCTTGCTTTGCAGAAGGATCAGCCTTCATAAACCAAATGATATCATAAACACACCTAAGTGGCATGCTCTAAGGGAAGTAAGTTGAAATCTGGTCCTGTAAGGAAAACCCCTCCCCGGTTCAGGGTCAGGAAGCAGTGACACAATATTAAGGACTTTAAAGACTTTTGAAGGTAACGTTCCTGCTGACTGGAAACTTATTCCACACAAAGGTACACAAGGACTGCCAAACAGAAGCCCAGACACTGAACTTCACCCCAGCAAGCTGCAAACTTCAGGAATGTAGGGACTCTGTTTGCCAGAGACTGGCAAGTGTCAATTACTTGCAGAGGTGGTGTTTTCGAGGGGGAGACCTGGTGGGATTTCTCACTCCCCTCACAGGTGTCCTGTGAACCCCACTGTATATGTACTTTGCTGCAGTCAGTGTGAGGTTAGTTGCCAGGGACTGGTACCACAAGGTATGTCTGGCTACATGTCCCAGCAACAGGATCTATCTCCTTCAAAGACACTACCAAGGAGCTCGGGGCCGGAGGGAAAGCTAGCTTCACGCTTGGTCTTACTGGAGCCATTTTCAAAGGAAAGCCTGATGGTTGGTCTGTGTGACATTGTCCCTCTTTCTAAGTTGGATGCAGTTCTACAATGTCTGCCTGCCACCGGAGGAGCCCACTGAAGCTGGCAGTGTAAGTGCCCTCAAGGTGAAGCCAAGTCCACCTGCTGTATGGTTTGGCACTGAGGATGCAGCTGACACAGCTGACTTCAGTTCTTAGGAGCTTGTCCCTAGAGAAGTGTGGTCACAGGGGAAGTCTAGGAGGAGAGAGACACCGAGGGTCTGGTTGGGTAAGGCCTGGGACTCCGTGTTCTTAGAGCCCCCTGCACAGCATGGCACCTGGGCAGAGCAGGCACTGCCCCCACTTACCCGACAGTGTGGAGCTGCTGATGGTGCTGGCTGGCGTGGTGACCTCGGGCTCCTCCTGAGCACACTCCTCAGGAGGGAGGACTGGTTTCTCCGGCTCCTCTCTGGGGTCTGCAGAGCAAGGGACAGCTTCATCTTGGTCTCCCTCTACTGAGATAGCCAGTTTAGGAAGCAGGCCAGAACTGAGTTTGCATCTGTTGCTTTCAGTGTCTGAAGAGTTGGATGTCGACAACTGTTGCCTTAATTAAAAACAAGAACAAGTCACACATACAGCCCAGGAAACCACTAAGGGCAAAGGCTTGAGGAAACCAGGCAAAGCAATGTGTGTCTAGGGCAATGGCTCTGATGGTATGCACCCAGTGTCAGCTCAAGCAGGGACACAGGAGGAATAACGTGTCTGAGATCTACTGGACTGGGAACTCTGGAGGCAGGTCTGGGATGCATGGCTTATTTGGGCCCCGGGGAGGCATCTCACGCACATCTCTGAGTATTCGGAGCTCCAGCTGAGCGTCTCTGTGGATGGCAGGGTTGTGCTTTTGGTTTTTTCCTCGGTATCTTCTTTGTCCTCTCCTGAATTTGGAGTCATTCGGTCTATACTGCTGAACACCTGAGAGGCAAAGACCATTGCTTAGGAACTGCATCTAAAAGGAGCTTGTCAGAAAGAGCCCAAGTCTCAGGGGAAAAAAAGCTAAAAACCCTGAGTACACAATTAAAGTGTGACCTGGGGAAACGTGTGTGGGAAACCCTGGCAACGTTGTGAGATGCCACAAGAGATAAGGGTCGAGGTAAGGATACATATTCTTTTCGAGTGCAAAGTTGAACTGACACTCTACTTTCGCCATATCTCATGGGCTCTGTATCTGCGAAGAAAAAAATCACAGATGGACTCGGGTTTCTAGGTTTCAGGATCAATGCAGATCTCAGAGTGCTTTTATGCTCAAGATGTAACCAGGAAGAGAAAAATAATTCAGACCAACCGTGTCTGATGGCCACGAGTCTGGAGCAGAAAGGGGAGGAGCAAACTGAAATTGACAACTGGTTTTAGTACTTGGAGTGGGTGGGTTCTGTGGAAGGAGAAAGGTAACAAGCAGGTGTACTTGCTTGACCTATAATTCAGACAGCAGCTGGTACGGGAGGCTATCACTTAGGCAAACAGGTCTCTTGTAGCCCATTTCTGAGTCTCTACTCTCTCACAGGAAATCCAGGAGGGAAATGAGAGTATGGAGAGCCCAGTATGGTGAGTACACCCAGTTGTTATCCTCCAGCTCTTTACTGTTCTCATGGAAATGGGCTGAGGGCCAAGTACTATCTATAGCATTAGAAAAGGGTTAGGTTAAAGAACGGACACTGGATAAATGAAATACCTTCCCAAGTAAAGAGGCAAACTGTATAAGGTGGGTTCTGAGAGGCAAGGAGATGGCTATGTTGTTAGTACCCATTGAATGGACTTAAACTTGCTTCAGGACATACTTGCCACAAGTCTCCAGGGAAATCCCTAGCCCTAAGTTGTTCCTATAAACAGAGAGGGGTAGCACAGGTTGATTTGCAGATGCATTCTGGGTAATCACTTAGGAAAATGTACAGAGCACTTTAAAATCATGAATCGCTATAGAATTCCTAAATAACAATCATGCAAAATGCCATAGCAACCACAAATATGCAGCAACCGAAAATAGCAGAAGGGAGGTAGGGTGCCCTCTGGGCTCATTTCCATTTTGCTGGGGTTCCCACCCTACTTGAAAACATTAGTTTTATTTTCAAATCTTACCTGAACTTATCGAAAGGCATTTTTCTTAAGAATCAATTTTATTACCTGATGCCATTTCTAAAATTCTAGAGCAGTCTGCTACTGCCTTTTTAATATAGCTTATAACCTTTATTAATTACTGACAATTCTTTCTTATCCCATAGCCAACTGTCTCCATGTACCCTGGCCCATGTCAAGAGCTGAACGTTACTCCCGTGTTGTGCTCTGTCAGACTGAGTGACATCTCGCCACACCTCAAAGCCTTCGGTCTTTCTTAAGTGCGGTGAGGCTTCCCCTAGCTCTTAGCTAGACCTTAATGCAGACAAGCAAGTTCATCAGATGGCAACTGTCATGACAACACAGCAATCCAACCTTTTCCAGTCTTTGCCTCAAAATAAAAGCAAACAGTAACAGCAAGCTCCCAGAGTCGGACCTTAATTTCTAGAGACACACAGTTATGTCTACAGGTGAGAAATCTCCGCTCATCAAGAAAATTTGACCTCCATTTGACCGGGAGGGAGTTTAAGTGTTTGAAATCTCACACCCCACAAAAGGGCAGATGCGTTCAGAGTCTAGTCCAGCCGAGCTGGGCGCCAGCCACTGGAGGTCCAGATTCTGCATGCGCATGCTCGCCTCACGTACTTTTGAAAACCTGTGTGAGCAGGAGGAGAACTGCCGTATCTCCACAGTGAAGTCCTCATCGTTGGTGTCATCTTCCTCCTCCGTTTCCATGTGATGATACTTCTCTGACCGAGCTGCAGAGCAATGTTTTAGGATAGTCAGGTTACTCAGAGAGTTCCAGTGTTTAACAGAGACCACTTCAATAGGAGTTATCTGGAGCAAAGCAACATTGCGTTTTCTAGAATTTGTGGGCATGAGATCGGAAAGCTCAGAGTTGGAGATGAAATGTTTTGAAATCGAGTAAAGGCCAAGGGATGTCAGATAATGCACATACTATCAAAATAACTTGTGTCATCCTCCGATTCCAGTTGGGGAATAAATTCCGCCTTCTGTCTCAGCAAACTGTTCCAGTCCAGGGAGCGGAAGAAGCGATGCTGCTTCACTTCGTAGGCGCCACCTGGAAGGGAGCAGAGCAAGGCAGACATGGGAGGCTGCGCCTTCCTCCGAGCAAAAGGAAGCCCCAAGCCTTACAAAACATTTAAAATATTTATTAGCAGAGAAATAAAGCAGCCATGGAATCCATACCTCCCACCCCCTTCTACAACCAAAACTTGAAAAAAAATTCCTATAATTTATCAGCAGGAAATCTGATTTTGCTAACAGCAGTTGCTACAGCACAGCTTTTCTCTGTTAGTTTTTCTACGACTTTTCCATTTTTCAAAGGTTAATGACATGGCCACTTAAAATCACATTATACCGAACCTGGGGACATGGATACATGTTGGCCCAAAGCAGAATGGCTCATTACAAACCCAGAAAATCCTAACAAGGTGCAAAAATGTGCTTACGGCAAGATTCCTTGTGGAGGGGAGGTTAATAATGATGAATTTTTCCTAAGTATTCTATCATGGTTACCTTTCAGTTTTATCGGATTGCTCATTAACATAGGTAGGAATTAGATTCTGTGGTTTAGATCCTTCAGTAAGGAACTGACAAATCGGTTAGACATATTTACAGTTTGGCTAACAGAAATTAGTAACAACGGCTAAAGTTGAGACTTCTGTTTGCCAGATAATTGTGGTAGCACAGTTTGGTGAGAGGTATTTTTTGTTTGATGATTTTTATACAGAGGCTTTGAAGGGCAAGGCTCATCAAAAATGTATTTACAGCATCCCATTGAAAGAGAGGAAAGTAACAGGTAAGAGTAGAACCCCTTCCTACCCCAGCACACACCGTATAGTTGGGAAAGATAACAAAGACAGGAGCCTGAAGAGCACCAGGAAAAATGTCTTCCAAAGACCAACACAGAGGTCCATCTGATTGGCCTCTCTGTCAAGCTTTCTTTCAGGGGAGCAAGGGGGGGGGATAGATGCTTCCCTCTGTGGTTGTCACCCATCCCTCTCATCCTGTCTCCTCTGGGTGCAAAAGGGGCAGAAAGGGAAAGGCAAGGGAGACAGAAGATGGGCTGGGGATCTTGCCTGGGGCAGGCATGCTATTTGTAGTCCAGAGACACAGCTCTATGCCCATGGGCTGCCTCCTGCACAAGACACATATCCAGGTGTTCTGAAAACATTGTCATGGAGGGGAAAGAAAAGTGAGGTAACCACCCCAAGGGGGACAAGCGGCTGCTTTTCACAAAGCACAAGCGTCGGACTCTTCCAAGACCCTGTGCCGGATCTCTTCTCGGCTTCAAGCTCAATTCCAAACTGAGAACCCTCAGCCCCAGGGGCTTCCCAGCTGTAACCAGTGGGCCAGTTCTGGGCCAAGTACAGCGGTAGATGGAAAGACAGGGGAAACGAAGGGAGCACGACAAAGGAGGAGACCTCAACTCTCTCCCCACCCCAGTACCTTGGTTGTGCTTCTTACTGGCTGAAGGTCAAGAATTACCATATGACTGACAAACCCCAAATTCCTGTTAAACACTCTCTGCAAAAAGAAATACCTCCTTTGCTAGATATAGCTCAAAAAAGAAAAAAAAATATTGTAGCAGCAAACAAATCACACTTAAGGCCAAAATGCATGTCTTAAGCACTTGCACCCTATGATTTGAACCTTATTGTATCCCCTCTCATCCATAAATAATGCCTCTAGTAAGCCACCCTGTAATTTCATTCATAAAAGGCAATTCTTATAGAAAAATAAGCAAACCAGCTCATAGTTTCAGAACTTTACTTAATCTTTGAATCTGGTTATAAATTATAGCCCTTGAGCCTGTAACTTGCAGAGCCACAAAATCACAAAGCTATTGTTAGGACACCTGTATCTTTTTCTTAATGCCTACACCCTGGTTCTGCCTTTGAGTGGGCACTGTTCTTTCCTTAGTGAAACCCAACTTTGCTTTATGCTATCTTACCCTGAAATGCTTTGCTGCAGTGCAAGTGAGGATTCCATATTCATCTAAGCACTGAGCTCCTGTAGGATTTCCTTCGGTGACATCTTGCCCTGACAGTATTACATTCAATGCTGAAGTTACTGTGTTTCATCTACTTAAATAACAGAAAATACCCCTGGATAGGGTCGGCATTATCGACTCCAGTTTTAGATGGGGAAGCTAAAAAGAAAAGCAACAGAGCATGCTGGGCTGGCTCCCCCTGACAAGAAGAATAAGAAGGCTGCACCTAGGTCTGTCTGAAAATATATGCAGGCTCAGTTGCAGTGCCATGGCCTCACCTCTACACAAGGCATCCCGTGCTTTACTTGTTTTCTGCTTCACTCTTTCTCCTGCGTGAGTTTGAAATGGAACCACTCTTGCCTAGGCTGGGTAGCTGAGCCAGTTGGCAAGTCTATTCTATGGCACCCCGACATTCCATTCCAGCCCACTGTGCCCCTTGTTTCTCTTTTAGCCCCCAATAAATGCCTTGTTAAACACCTATCGGTTTTTATTTGGAGGCATAAAACACAAAGGCCAAGAGGGATTGCACATTTCCCTTTTCAACTCCCTCTCCATGGTGATGACCCTGAGGTCTAGTGCCAAGCCCTGATGAGTAACCCATCACAGGCATCTCGGGATGCTTAGCTCAGCCATGACTCCATTACCATAACCACCGATGCAGCTGCTACTCACGGGGCTGTGTCACTGACATTGCTCTGAAATTCTAGGCTATTTGTACCTATCAAATTTTCTAAGGTCAATGACTTGCATGGCACTTCCAGATGATACTGCTCCCACCCTCTCCCATCTACCCATCTATGGAACGCAAGCTGATGAGAACTCTGCTTTCTTTCTGTGGACAACGACAAGTGAGTCTCCCCCAATGAGTCACAGCCAAGGAGGATGTAGCTCACAGTATCTTCACACAGACCTTTCTGCCTTACCAGGAAGAGGTAGTTATCAGTAGGCTCTGTTTCCCATATACTCATGGAGGGATGAGAAAGAAAAGATTAAAGAAGAATAAACAGGGGGAGATGATCTCTGGGCTAAACTATAGGTGAGAAGTATTGTGAACCATATGCAGATTGCCCATGCATGCTAGAATGAGGGAAATGAAGGGGAAGAAACTGTCTTGATTGCCTGGTGTCCAGCTAGTTCCGTGTACTAGACCCCCACTTGAACATCATTGTGTTTAGTCCCTGCAATAATCCTGAGACATCTAATATTCCCATTTTTATACACTAGGAAACTGAGGTTGATGACAAGAAAGACACAACCCTAAGAGCTCGCAGTTGATACACACTTGATAGTCATATCTGAACGGCTTTAAGGTCAGTCAGCAAGCCAGGCCGCCACTCAACTCTCTCCAAGGTCAAGAGAATATATAGCCCGGTGTAGCACAAGGTTCTACACTGAAAGTTCTAGTTTGGCACTCCTGTACTCCCTTGAGTCCTCTCCTTTCCTGGAAGCCTCTTAAACATTCATTATGCTCTTTACAGCTCCCCCTTTTTTCTCAGAATCTCTAGTGGCTCAGGCAAATGTGCATTCGCACATTTTCATAGTGCACTGTCTTGCCCGCTAAATATTCGTTGAACACAAGATGCTGTCACTGGAAGCAGCATGGCAGGCCTGCAGGATCCGCAATATCATTCTCTAGGCCCTACTGGGACCCATCACATCAGCCCTGCTGGTTTGGCAATCACTTCTTGGCTGTTCTAAGGGCTTGAGTAGGACCTTTAAATGTTTCTTTTGGGTTTCTCCTAGGGAATTTGCTCTTCAAACTGTCAGAGACTGACAGTAGCAGTCAATGAGGAAATAAATGCACAGAGCAATAACTTGCAGCATAGGATATATACACAGGGACCTGCTGGTCCCAGTCTCTGGCCTGTCTTGGTAAGTTAAACCTAATCAAAGATCCCAGTATTCTCAGATAAGGGGGAGGGCAGAATATCAAGCAGAGAATCTCCAAACTGGCCCTTGGGGACTGCAGGGAAGGGGACTTTTGCACTTCCATTGGAGGGGTGTACCCATTCAGGGGCATTTTTCAGTCAACTCATGGGAGCCCTTCTTCTGGGTCAGTTGAGTGGGGAATCTAAATAGTTATTTGTGCTATCACAGGGCAACGTTGAAATGCAGCTGTTTCTCATATGTGGCAAAACCAAGTCAAAACCTTTCCTTAAGAAGCTGCCCCCTACACAGTCTTGACACCATTTCTTTGACAGCTACTCTTCTCTCTTGAACCATAGCGCAGATCTATCTGATGGCAAGTCACAGAAGGAGAGAAATAATGAGTTTGTTTGACAGTTTAGACACGTGGAAAAGCAGATAGGGTGGAAAGAAAGAAACTCATTTCAAGGAGTCCAGTGGGGCCCAAGGTAGTCACACCACCACACCCCATGGCCCCGCCCAAAAGAAAGGTATAGGC